TTTATATTTAATTTGTACCTTTTTTTGGTGTATACTTATGTATGTGTATGTGTAAACCTTTAGCATATATACAAGTCTCTCGTAACTCTTATAGAGTGGCTCATATATTCCTTATACTGCTATATTTTCCCAATTTTACGTGTACTTTTACTGTATATATGAGGTGAGACTCAAATAAACTATCTGTCTGTCTGCCACCTAGGACAAATGCCACCCAGACAAATGCCACCTAGGACAAATGCCACCCAAATAAAAAAAAAAACACCAACACAATATCATGTTTCCCAGATGTATTTGCATGATAATTCATTTTCGTTTACACACTTTCATTATTACTTTCATTCTCATCATTTTTCATTTTTTCATTCACACTTTTATAAATTAATTTCCTACTCCTTTCTGCGATGAAACATATTCAACTTGGTTGTGCATATTGGAAGTGAAATGGTCATCTTGTTAGTTATTTGCTTTATTTTAACGTCGCACGCACAACTAAGGTATTTCGGCGACGGGGAAGTACACTTATTAAGAAATGTGGGGGAACAAAAAATTGAAATTTTGAAAGAGTGGTGTTACTACCCAAAAAACAACAACTGAGTATTAAGGGAAATTTGAATGGGAGGCAGAATTAAAAAGGTAAAAAATATGAAATAGGTAAAGGGTAATAGAGCTTCGGAATTTAATATAGATGTAGTGTAGTAAATGGTTATTGTTATTATTATTGTATTTGTCCGGGTGGCATCTGTCCGGCTGGTTTTTGTCCGTGTGGCTTTTGTCCTGCTCCCCGATACTAGTATGGCAGTACTTCTACGTATACAGATGATACTGTCCGCCGTAAATCTTAATAATCACTAATCACTGGATATCTGTACAATTATATGCGTGATGGAGGAGAACGTTTCTCAGTAATGTGAATATATACAGTCATGTATATAGAGTGAAACTGGCAGATACCTTTAGAAGAATGTTTCTTGCCCTACCTATCTGTAGCAATGATATGACATGGGGATGAATGGCATGTACTTTCGCCCGTTTATAATGATATAATATGTGATCTTTCACAATAATCTCTCTGATGATCTCAACCGGTTATCAGATTGAGGGTAATGTTTGAAGATAACCGGTATTTTTATTACTTTATGTGTACAGTAAGATTCTTCGAATAATACAGTGTTCAAGTTGTGGCTATTGACATAGAAGTAGCTTACATGACGAAAAGCTGCATAATTTTGGCATATAAATAAGTAGTGATGCGCATCACCATACGCATGCCCACACGTACATCGTGAATCAATGACAATAAATCTATCAAATTTATGATCATTTAATTTGCTGCATCCCAATCTAATACAACAATGTAACATTTGGTTATTTCCCAATCCATAATTCTGAACAACTTCGAGTCCATCACTATTGCCACTATGCAATCTGTTTTAAATATTCGTCGGGGTTATTCCATTCGACAATAACGGACGGCAAGAAAGATCGTTTATATAATTCCGAACGGCAATTCGGAACTTCAATATTGTCTTGTTCTTGTTTCATAAAATGATAAGCGATGGCACGTACGAGGTATGAGCTCTGATAAACATTCGGGCGTCAAATTTGAATTCATTATAAAACAAGTTCATTTAATGATTGTACCGTCTTATGGCTAAAGAAGTTTCATTATATAGTTTTTGATGATTTGTACCCTTCACAGCACCACAGATAGTTCTCAGCGCATCTACATGAAGTTTTTCAAGAAGGTACTCCTGTGATTTGGTACAATTATTCCAAATTTGGTCGCAATAATCAAAGATTGGTAATATAAAAAAAACTATGCAAAGTCTTTAGACTTTTACCTGTTAATCGATATTTAAGGCTATGTAGACGGTTGATAATGTGTTCAATATGAGAATGCCATTGGCCATCCTTTTGAAAAGTTCAACCAAGATGTTTATGATTTTCGACTTCTGCAATGAGTTGACCATTCATGGTTAAATTTGGTACTGAGGTTTCAGCTCGTTTCCTTGTAATGGTTTCTTTTTTTTGTAGGATTGGATTAAACTTTCCAGTTTTTGAACCCAAGAAGAAATTCTCTCAAGATCATTATTCAACATGTCGTAGGCTTCGTTAGGGTTGCCTATACACTGGAAGTACCAGCTACCTACGAAAGACGCTTAGAAAGAGTGCATGTGTTAATGGGAAGAGTATCTTGACATGTCGGTCATTTGATATTGGAAATATATATCCGTATATCCTTTAAGATAAATATCCTAAATTTATCTAACAACATGAATTGTACCAAAATAATGGAATAACACTGCAAAACGACTGTTCATGGGACGCACACATTCACAACATTATTAAAACTGTTAGTCCCATGATAAATTGTCTTAAAAGTTTCAAATATCGTTTGTCTGGAAAAACACTAGAGACCAAGTATAAATCCTATATTATTCTTCCTTCTTTCGATTACTGCTCTCATATTTGGGACAACTGTACAGATCAGCCAGCCCTTACTTTAGAAAACTACATCTAGATGCCCTTAGAACAATATGTGGTACTGTCCGTGGAATAAGCCATGATAAGATTTATCGCGAAACTTCCTTCACCTCGTTGAGTGAAAGGCGAAAATACTTAAAGTACTGTCGGAAATGCTAGAAAAATGCTTTTTGACTTATATTTAAAATTCATAGGTATTACAGTTACTTAAATAACAAATATCACTTCAAGAAACATCTACCTAATGTAGACCGAGGAAATAAATTTTGAGACATGCTCTAAAATGTGTTTTTACTGATGAAAATACCAAAAACTTAGAAAAATAAGGGGTAGTGGGACGTTATTTGATACAAACATTAATTGCCTGTGTTACGTCATCAGCATCCACGGTATCGACAGGTGAAATTGACACCTGAGCACACGCTCGGGCAAGGGGTCATCTCAATAGATGTTTTCTGCAAAATGTTGAATATGTGTACGTATAGTATACGTATCGGTTATGTAAGGGATCATTTGTATATGTGTGTTTGTTTTGAAATAAACATACGAATTACTGTACATTGGAAAGAATCCTATCACTTGTGTTATCTTATCGATTGATTGTAGAAATGTGCAACGTTTTAATAAATGTTTTGCATGTCAACAGTAGATTTCATTGAAAAAATATGGATGTAATTCGGTCAGTTTAATCTAGTTGTGAACATTGGCCAAAGATTTAACGAAGTCACTGGTGTAGCTTCTTTAGAATATATATATTTTTCTTCTCATAAAGTTTGTAGACCGCCCGTCTAAGCACTCCCTTGTCAAAGTTGTCAAGGATGGTTTTACGTCCCGGTTTTGCATTTGAGACGGTCCCTTTCTTGTCTGATTTGTTTACAATATTGTAAACTTGTTGGTAAGACATGCCAACAGCTCTACAAGTTCTGTAATAAACCCTTTCTATACTAATGAAAGGTGTACCTCTGTTTTTAAGCAGAAAAAAACCTATAAACCTTTGCAACAATCGACTGCAAATCGTTGGCCATAGTGGACGCTGTGATAAAGATGTGCATGCATGACGGGAAACCTATTTATCAAGACTTAACATTTATATTAATATTTCTTCAATAAAAAAACGATAATTAAGTAAAATAACACAAACATTCAACATTTATTTGTTTAGGAAAAACGTTAATTCATATTTTACACCACCTGTATTATAAGCAGAAATGTAAAGACTATTTCAGATTTCTGTTGTTGAACTCTGAAAAAGTCTTAAGTTGCTGTTTTGGTACCAAATTCTCTCCTGTAAACTGCCCTTTAAATACATGGGAATGTTGAATCGATTGAAATAAAAATTAGGTAGACAATAGGCGAGTTGATATATTGACAACATACATGTAGTACATTTATCACCTTTATAAAGATATTATGGCTAAAAAACATTTTTCTAGCATTTCCGACAGTACTTTAGTAATAAATTGCTAACATTTTATAAACTGTTTCATCGTTTATTACCGGACTATCTGAGCAATCTGTTAACCCAGTTAGTCAGGGACAAAAGTCGTTATCCCTTACGAGATGGCACTAATTTGAGAAGCATTTACTGCCGAACGACAAGATATGCAAAAACATTCATTCCAGACACAATCAAACTCTGGAATTCTCTGCCTCTCGAGGTTACAAATCGTACGCCTCTATCTAAGTTTAAAACCCTTATCAAAGAGCAAAATAAATGTAATGTTTACTTTGATGTATATTATGGTAGTAGAAACCAGTAGAAAATAACTCACAGTCGACTGATACTTGGATACTGTGATCTTAACTGGGACAAATTTCAAAGCTATACTAGTATATCAGAAAAAACCGGTCTGCGTTTGTGGGCACCAAATTGAGAATTCATATCATTATTTCTTTCCTTGTACTAAATGTAGTGAAATCAGAAAAAATGCCATATTTTATATCCACGGATATGATCTAGAAACTATCTTATGTGGTAACAAGCTTGTAAGAAAAAAATGTTGAAATGGATATATTAAATTCTGTTCATCACTTCATAACTAAAAGCAATCGATTTGTAAATGTTTAGGCAAGTTTCGTAAGATTGACTGCAAAATCTAAAAAGCTAGAACTCTTGTATGCTTTATGTTTACTTGTTTTCATTGCAGCACTTATCATCACATTTTAATTGCATCTTTGCTTCATTTACTTATGAACACATGCTTTATTTATCTATGATCACATGAGTTGTCAATTCGTTTACTTGTAACCGTCACGATTTGGGAATTGTTATGTTTCTGGGGCGGTATTTATATAAGCAATAAAATGCCTGCTTACCAAACCAGGTTTCAGAAAATAAATATGTTTAAACTATTATATCAAAATATTTTATCTTGTCTCTAGTTCATGGGTATCAAGTTTGACCCAACATCTGTTGTTTTGGGGATTATCACGATTGACAGGTTCGCCGACTTCTTAGGTTTATCCACTATTCGCCCACATCTCAATTCGCCTTCAAGACATATCGCATACAAAAACAATGTAGGCTCATTGGGATTAGAAAATTCATCCCCATACTCTTAATAAGCCTGAGTGTTGTTATAAAGAAAATTAGTTCAGTAGAGATAACTCCACTTTCACTTAGAAGTTACAACTGAGTTATAATAAAATGAAAGGAATTAATGCATAAGCTTAATCGTAAAGCAATGATGAGATATAGTTAATTTTTCACTTTAAAACACTCGCTGCTACTAATAGGCTTAAAACCAACTTAACCCTATAAAATGGAGTGTTCGCCAAGCACTGATGGTCACAATGGCTAACCTGCAGAGGGGGGAGTTCATGTTGTCTCAGAGAGGAGGAAGACAGGTAGTACATGATGGCCGCAAGTATCGACTAAATGTTGTGAGACAGGTAGCCACACACTGGAAGTGCTTCATACTACAATGTAAAGGTAAATGCAGTACCATTGGCGACCACATATCTCCGGTCACAGAATACAACCACCCTCTGGTGAATGAAGAAGAGACCAGACACTGAGACTGAGACAACGTGATGAGATACAGCCCATACAAGAGACAGACAGACAGACAGACAGACAGATATCATAAAGTATACGTATACATACACAATATAAAACCATTACCTTTACCACATAAAATTGGTTTCCGTTTCTGAAGTAAAAGCTTGGAAGTTTTGGCAGAATAAAATACAATATTCGGATTGGCTAAGATGAAACTAACTTTCTGTATATCTGTAAAATCATTTAAATTATCACAGCTATTTGAACATTTACTTAGGAGGGTAAAACGTATATCATTATAAAGGAGGCAGTGTAGTAAAACATGGATTTTTCCCCAACTTCATCCTTACAATAAAAACAAGTTCTCTCCCCCACCGGTGTATTAGTGTACCGTCCAGTCTCTATGTGTATAGGGGCTACTCCGCATCTGACCTTAGCTAGGGCACTTCTATTGCTTCTGGAAATGGAATTAAAATTTTAGGGTTCAACACAGATATCACTCTTAAAATGACTGTACAGCCGTAGCTTATTCCCTCCCACACTTCTCCTACTGTGAGTCCTTTGCACATCAGATTGCCAACTGGCTCTGAAACAGAACTACGATGAAGATCTCAATACAAACAAATACAGACGCAGGATGCTAATCTTCATAACCACAGAGAAGATGGATATCCTTGCTGAGGCCGAAACACTGTACATGGATGGAACATTGTATGTGCCTCTGGACCCAAGTGTATAGACTCATAGACTCATGTGACGTCATCATGGCTGGACGTGCTGCTCTCAGCTCACACAATCCTATGTGAGTTTTTCAACATATTCGAAGAAAATAGAGGAGGTTGCAAGCCGAAAATGTCACTAACGTGAGCATATATACAACCTACATCATATATATAATTGTCATGAACGGATGGTCATTGACTTTATAGATATTTGATAGATTGAAAATGTCAGTGAAAATGATTGAACTCCATTACTGATATTGTCCACTTTCCGAGCACACGTATTTACTCTGTTGACTTTATGGATAACACACCAAATACATCTAAACGAAAAAGAGAAGAAGTATTTACGTCTCCTGAAAGTGAACTTGAAACCAAGAGACAGTGTAACACCATGTCAGTTTCGACTAACGCTAGTGTCTCGGAGTCTGTCTCTGATATGGAGTATCGAGAAGAAGCTGTATTTAAAGAGTCATCCCCTACTAGTGAACTCGTAAAACAGCTACTTGTAGCCCTGCAGAATAATGAGATACTCTCTGTTATCGGCAGAGCAGTAGGCGAAGCTATTAAACCCACCTTCAGAGAGGAAATATCTCAACTATTTGAACAAAATAAACAGCTCGAAATGCAGGTTACAGAGCTTAAAGTCAAAGTAGATGAAAAAGATGAACTCATAGAAACTTTAAATGACAAAGTTGACAGGATGGAACAATATTCAAGGCGCAATAACGTCAGAATTACTGGTGTCCCAGAGGTAGCTGATGAGAACACAGATGAGACGGTTCTTAATATCGCAAAATCTATCGGTGTTGACCTGTCCCTGGCAGACATCGATATCAGTCATCGAGTGCCAAGGTTTCCTCCATCGCCCCAGTCCCATCCAAGACCGATCATGGTTATGTTTGTCAGCAATGTGAGTAAACGTAACCTTCCTGCAAGTAGGTCTAAGCTGAAGACCAAACAACGATCTGTCAGTAAAATCTTCATTAATGAAGACCTCACCAAAACCAGAGCTCTGCTAGCTAAAGAAGCCAGACGCCTGGTGAAGGAGGGGAAGATAGAATCCACCTGGGTAACGGGGGGAGTCATCCTGGTGAAGTTCAAGGACGGAAAGCTTAAAAGGTCGCTACAAAGACCCATTTACAAGAAGTCCATGATCAAACTAGACTGACAATGGTAATTTCGCTGAGCCAGGACTCTCACTAACTCCAAATGAATATGCTTCTTCTCACACTAACTGTAAACACAATGACAAACTATCCTTTCATCATGTTTATAATTGTTCACTCTTAGATAGAACATATTGTCTATTGCTAATATATATTATAAAAGTGACACTTGAACTACATAATGTGGCATGCACATTGGTATGTTTGTAGCACACTATACAATACCAAGTTGGAATGTTACCAACGGTGGAGGTGTCAAATTACAATTGGTGTTAAAGTGTCAATACACAATGTTATGTGTCAGTGTTCACATGGTACAATATCACTTGCCCATGGAAAGCGGAATGTGATCAGTGTTGTCTGTGATTGTCCAGTATTCACGAGGAGCACCGAGATGAAAGGTTTCAAATAACAGCACAAAAGTAAGTGTCTATCAAATCCTGCGTTTAAGGAGGCACCAGGAAAGAAAAAGAAAAAGACTATAATATTGATCTACGACTTTCTATGGACTAACATTGTGTCCTCAAAAGTTGAGTTGTGAATTATTATGACATTATGATTGTCTGTTTTTTGTTTGTTTTGTTTGTTTTTTTGTTTTTTTCTAATGCTATATCAACCCATCACTGATAGTACTGGTATTGTAATTATATTTTCAGTGTCAGCGGCATGGTATTTCTTTGAAGCTTCACAATCATGTGTTGTACTGTCTTTGGGTTCTTAACCTGGTAAATGTTGGGCTACAACCAGGTGATGCTTTAATTTATTTATTTTTATTTATTTTTGTGGGTTTTTTTACGCTCTAAACTCATGGACGGTATGTTTTGATTATAATTACTGGTTATTGTAGATTCTTTTGAGGTCATAACCAGTTAAATATTCGCCTAAATGAAATTTGCAGTATTATGATTCCATTTTAAAGACGCTACAGTTTTTATTTTATTTGATAACTATGTCACGAGAGGTCACCATGATCTGATGGTCACGGGTGTTTTTAAGAATACATGTGTATCAGCGTTGTCGAATAACATACTCAGGAGTGATCGTGATACGTTCAATACATTTATAGTATTTTGCATTCATACAATGTGCTCAATAAGCTATCTGTGCCAATTAACACTTGACTGAACTACTGTATTATCCAAATCATTATTATACATTTGTACATTACCCTTTTTATTTTCGTCTATGGTAAAGCATTAAATATGTCTATATAGAATAGGATATGTAACAAACAAAAGTACAACAGTACTCACGTTGTTTCACAACACAATGCATCTAATAGCACAGGTATCCAGTCCGTTTTGGTCGTGCCCCGAACATGCATCCTTAACACACACATTCTCGTGCTAAGCGCCCACATCGTGGTCTCTCGCAATGGACATGAGTCGACATGGATACAAACTCATTACTGTTAACTATGATATGATATAGATATTTTGGGCAATTGATATGAATATGATCAAAGGTTAACTCTCTCTCTCTATATATATATATATATATATATATATATATATATATATATATATATATGTGTGTGTATTTGTATGTTTGTTTATGTTTATACATGTATATATGTATGTGTGTGTATGGTCACGGGTGTATATGTTTGAGTGTATATATATATATACGTGTATATGTGTATATGTATATATATATATGTATATATATGTGTATATGTGTGTGTGTGTGTGTGTGTGTGTGTGTGTGTGTGTGTGTGTGTGTGTTTAAATCGCAACCCGTTAAACAATCGCTTAAATGAAATTGACACGTTTACGGCTTCATTTTTAAAGCGCATGGACGCTATGTTTTGATCTGATAATTATGAATGAAGAGGTCACCATGATCTGAATAACATACTCATGAGTGGTCGTAATACGTTCAATACATTTATAATAGTTTGCATTCATACAATGTGCACAATAAGCTATTTGTGTCAATTAACACTTGTCTCAACTACTGTACAATACAAATCATTATTATACATTTTTTACAGTACCCTTTTTATTTCCGTCTATGGTAAAGCATTGAATATGTCTATATAGAATAGGATATGTAACAAACAGCAGTACTCACGTTGTTTCATAACACCATGCATCTAATCGCACAGGTATCCAGTCCGTGTTGGTCGTGCCCTGAACATGCATCCTTAACACACACACACACGCACACATTCTCGTGCTAAGCGCCCACATCGTGTTCTCTCGCACATGCACATGCGTCGACACGGATACAAATCTTCTCACTACTGTTAACTATGTTTTGATGTAGATATTTTGGGCAATTGATATGACTTTCATTTATAGGCAATTTGAAAACATTATATATATGAAATTTTCTCGAATTTTCCTTTCACTAAATAGACAAATGTTTTTGTCTTTGTATTTCCTTTTTTACCATTTCCTCTTCTGTTTGTTTGATTATTTCTGTTATGAATGTGACAAGAAAAGAATGCCCTTGTTTTGTTTACGCATTATATCATTAAGTTATGATGTTGGTGTGTGCCTATGCAGTTTTGCATCCTCAAGACGCACTGTCTACTATATTTGTCACCAGTTTCTAATTTTCGATGTCGGTTGAAATATCACAATATAGACAGGCAGTGGGTACATTTGCTGCAGCACTTCATTCTAAAC